GGAAGAGTATGAAATGAAATTTACATTAAAGTAGAATAATTTAATAAGTCTTATTTTGTATAATTGGTTTTGGTTACCATGAGAACCAATTATAAATAGATGATGGTCTCAATGAAAAAAAGAGGATAAACGAATCCTCCATTTATCAATATTAATAGAAATTCATCTTAAAAGTCATTCCTCCATTTTCCTAAAGTCTTTGGCTTTGTAAGACCTCAAGATCAATGGGCCTTACCTCACAAGTGGTTTATATCTAATAAAATGAAATCGTTCAAGAATCCTGTGGAAACAACACTCACCCTGTCCCCACCTTACTGGAAAGTGAACTGGAGTGAATAACAAACAAAAGAAACATTCTAAGGGCAACAGGAAGCTAAAATTTTTCCAGATGAGAATAGCTGTGGAGTCTAGGAGGGAAAAAATTGCAGACAGGCTAACCTGTCCGAGGGTAATTAGTGATGTAGTGCCAGTGTCATTCTGAGAGACAAAAATATACCTGAAAACAAAGACCAGTTCTACAAACAGTGCCCATACCACAAACCAGAGGAAAAACTTCCTGTGTTCAAAATGTGAAAAAATCATTCTGGGCAAAACAAAACACTGGGTTTTTAGGATATACCCACATAGAAATATAGTAGTGCTGTCGGTAGCAGCCCCACATCCCCTAAATAAATGCATATGTATACACACACACACACAATGTATACACACACACACACACACACAAAATCACAATCACAACACAGAGTAATTTCTAGTTCAGATTTCCTTCTCATCAATTGACTCCTAGCTGCGAGGTTGAAGGGCCATGGTCAATGAGTCTACTGTTCTAAAAAGAACTGGGGAATTCTATCATAGAAAGAAGTAGTAGTGGATGTAGAGTTCAGATTTTCCAAATCCCCACATAAAAAACTGGGTAATTAAATTGCAAAATCAAAACTCCTTAAGTAATATTTAACAAGGCATTCTCTGACCTACCCTTCCACACCAATATGAGTAGGGGCAAATCATCAACCACCACCAGACCCACACTGTGTCAGCATATGTGTGTGAGTGAGCAGAGAGACACATTAGGGTATCTGATGCTTCTAAGAACAGGAGAGTTCCAAAGCAGGCAGCAAGTATTCACTAGAAATAGGAGAGACCAGTTTGAGAACAGCTGCTCAAATGGATAGGGGTTTTGCCTCCTCCCCAATCTTAGGGCACTTATCCAAAAACACCCTCATACTTTTACGAGTGGAATAAAAATTGAACCACTCAAGGACAACAGAGCCACTAAAGACAAGATCCAAATAAAAATGAGGAGAACAGAGATTTTAAAAATCTAGGAATCAGCAGTTGGTGTAATAGCTATGTCGCTGGACTCCCATGTAGTTGACTACAGTTCAAGTCCCGGACCCAGTGGCTTAAATTCATGCTGGGTAGGTGTACGTGCATGCCCAAGATCCCTAGAGGAGAATGGAGAAGGGATTGAGGTGTGGCCATACCCCCAGAGGGTGATTTCTCGTTTTCTGTCTCTCTGTCTTTCTGGCGAGTGCAGCGCCCTATAGCAAAAAGTCTCTCCAAAAAAAAAATAAAAAAATCTAGGGAGGAGGGCCCAGCAGGTGACATGGTGATTAAGGCACTGGACTCCCATGTGACTGACCATGGTTTGAGTTCCAGATATAGCCACTTGCTTTCTCATTTCTCTCTGGTGAGTGCATATGCCCTATAGCAAAAATTAATCAATAAATAAAAGTATTTTAAAAATCTAAGAAGGTAAACTACCATGGTTTTAATATTGCATGGAAACAGCCAAGGGAATAGCTTTGAGAAGTTACAAAAACAATCTAAACCAAGCCTCCTTCCTGAACAAAGTTCAGGACAACCTATTTCTTACAAATTAGGATAAAAAAATGAAAATTTTCAAAGCCAAATCCCATACAAAGTTGCTATATATTAATAGAATGAGAAAACAAAGAGTAAAAGTAACATCTCTACAGATAATAAAAACATGCAAGAAATACACAACCATGAAACACAAGAAAGCTATAACCTGCTATCTATAAGAACACTTTTTCAGGAATTATTTATTTAATTGTATTTATTATTCTTCAGGTTGACCAAAGAGAGAGAGAGAGAGAGAGAGTGAGAAAGCAAGCCACCAGATCCAGGGTTTGAATCGTGGTTGGCTATTTGGGAGTTCAGTGCCTTAACCACCCCATCTCCTGCCAGTCCTTTCAAAGAACACTTTTCAATGATATTAGATATAAATAGTAATAAGAAAACAATGACATAAAGTAACAATGTAAATCAGAATTAGAAAAAGTTATAAATATGGTTCAAGTTCTTCAGGAGGAATAAGACGTAAAGGAAACATATAAAGCCAGGAGGAACACTGAGTGAAAAAGTACAAAAGATAAGAAGAAAAAATTTTAAATTAAAAAAGAAGAAATGGAGGCTGGCAGGTGGTGTGATGGTAAAGGTGCTGGATTCACACAAGGTCAACTACAGTTTGAGTTCCAGACCTGGCAACTTACTTTCTTGCTTTCCTCTTCTCTCTCAAAGTAAATAACAATAATAATAATAATAATAAATTAAATTAAATAAATAGTTCTTTTAAAAAAAGAAGAAATAAAGATGTTTCCAAAAAACTGATAATTATGATAATTTGGCAAAGAAGATCCAACATATGGATAATAGAAGTTCTTGAGGAAGCAAAAAAAAAAAAAAAGTAAAAAAAGTAAAGATCAAAACTTGACTGAAATAGGGGAACCAGCAGTTAGCGTAATGGCTATGTCGTTGGACTCCCACATAGTCGACTGCAGTTCACATCCCAGACCTGGTGGCTTAAAACTCATGCCGGGCGCATGTGCGTGTGTGCCCAAGCTCCCAAGAGCAGAATGGAGGAGAAGAGATTGTGGCGTGACCACCCCCCTGGGGGGTGATTTCTCGCTTTCTGTCTCTATGTCTCTCTCCGTCTGTCTGGTGAGCGCACACGCCCTATAGCAAAAATCTCTCTCAAAAAAAAAATAAAAAAACTTGACTGAAATAAAAAAAAAGTATTTGAAAGCACATGTTCAAAGACCACACCATGTACCTAATGAAATAAATGAACACATACTTCGGTAAAATTGTTGGACTTTAAAGAAAAATGAAAAACCATATGAACATAAAGGCAAAAAGAATATGAGCCTTATAAGTAAAATAAAAATAAGCCCACTTTCAGATATTTTGATAATACTTTACGCCAAGGAAAAAAAATGAAATAACATACTTAAGATTTTCAAGAAAATCTCTATAGTGAGTGCACATGCCCTAAAGCAAAAATCTCTTTTAAAAAATTATTATTATGACTGCAAGCTCCTCGCCCGGGTCCCTACCGTCTGCTGTGCTTGCCCGCCGCCCGCGCCTACCATGTCTGACATTCAGCAGCTACAAGGAAGATGGCGCCTGGTGGACAGCAAAGGCTTTGATGAGTACATGAAGGAAGTAGGTGTGGGAATGGCTCTGCGAATAATGGGTGCAATGGCTAAACCAGACTGTTATCACTTGTGATGGGAAGAACCTCACTGTAAAAACTGAGAGCACTTTAAAGACATCACAGTTTT